TGTCCCAGACAGCTCACCTGGGTGGGGAGGTGAAAGATAGCAGGGGTGGGCCTTGAGCCCTGGCAAATAGAAGTGACAGCAACTCACAAGCTTTCAAGGAAAAGATGTGCTAGTAGAGTTCTCGATAACTGGACATTTGAATGCTCATGTAGAGAGAACATTGGGTGGGGGAGGGGTGTGGACAGCGGTGAGAGAGAAGAAGGAAACAATCTTTCAATCTATTTTGCTTCCAAGTTACAGGCTCCACCCCAGTCCTGGTGGAGCCATCCTATACATTAAAAGTACCTGGGTTTCATGGTAGGCATCGTGGGTTACATGTTAGGCTGCTAACGGCAGGGTCCGCAGTTCGAAACCACCAGTCACTCGTGGGGAGAAAGAGTTACAGGCAGTTATGCTCTGTCCTGTAGAGTCAAATCAAGGGCAGTGAGTTCTGAGCGGTGGCGCTGGCTTTTGCGGGTCTCTGTTTCCTTTTCTGTCATTGGAAGTGCTTCGATTAGACACTCCCTTGTCTAATCGTTGAATTAGTGTTGAATTGGTGTTCACCACACTGATCCAGAGGCCTTGTAAGTAAGTCTGTTGGAGTGGGGAGCGGGGAGGGGGTGAGTCTGCAGAAGCACCAGGCCCAAGCCCAGGGAAGACAGACCCTGGAAGAGTGAACCCCAGCTTCTTGGTCAGCAACAAATTGCTTATCTTCTCTGACCGTCCATGTCCTTAATTGTAAAGCAGTGCCGATGATAATAGGACCTATTCTCCAGCTGCTGTTAATTTAAATGAGACAACGCAAGTTGAATACACAGTCTAATACTATTGATTAGCCCCCCTGTATTGGGCATATAGTAAGCATTAATAAAGTGGTGGGTGTAGTCTTAGCATCGGAATCATCCGAATTTTAAAGCCACATCTTTTTTCTTTCCGCCTTTATTGGATACATTGCAGGGGAATCAAACGATTTCTTGTTTCAATCGACCAACCAAACCCACACTCGTCTTTTCTCTTTCTGCCAGGATGGACTCCCGTTCCCCCCAGTGCTTATATTAATACACACGTGGTTAAGGTGGCTGCCTCGGCGGATTCTGTCCTCTAAAAAAAAAAAAAATCGGTCACATAGAACTAGGATAGGAATGAGTTCGCAGTTCCTCTAGGGTCCCCAAGCGTTGGAACGAAGTCGACAGCCATGAGAGACTGTGCCGCAGGCTGTGGATCGCTTCCGCCATTCTTTTTCACGTGGCGCGTCGGGTTCCTAGGGCATGCCGTTGTCCCGGTCCTTGGTCTATCTCTTTGCAACTTCATCTTGCATGTTTTAACCAGGTTCCCCGCGCCACGACTCTTCTCCGACGGTCTGCACGCCCCACCCCTGTTTCCCACCAGCCGCCTAAACTAACTCGCTTGGGGGTAGAGACAGAGAACCAGTTCCACCGAGCCCGAAGGGCGCATCGCCTGGGCCAGGGTGGGACCCAGGTTATGAGCGGCCTCCTGTCTCTGGGTTGGCCTCCCCGCAGGGGACACCGTAGGCGGCTGTGCGGTCCGGCCACTGCCCCCCGCCCCCGCCCCTCGCGTCCGGCCACGCCGCGGGTTGCGGTCTCGGTGGGGGTGCAGGCTCCTGTCCCGGAGGTTTGCGCCTGGCGGGGCACCCCGGAGCCACGGGGAGCCTTGGAGGCGAGGCGAGGGCGGGGTGGGGCGGGGAGGGCGGACTCGCAGGGGGCGCCGAGGGCAGCGGGCGGCCGCGCGGCTGGGAGTGAGCGGGGCGAGGGCTGGCGAGCGCAGGGGCCGCCCGCCCGAGGGGGAGGAGGCTGCGCCGCCCGAGCTGCAGGTTCGCTGCGAGCGCCCAGTAGGCAGGGACGTGGGTAGGGTGCGGTCTGCGCGGGGCCCGCGCCCGGATCTCTTCCATTTCCCCTC